GGGCCTCTGGTTGATCAGTACGCCGAGAGCCGCTTCAACTACCCGTTCGCTGCAGCCTGTCTCGTCCGATCTTTCACTCGCCTGTTGGAGAAGCCTACTGAGCCTGAGATCTCTCGGAAACTTCGATCTACATTCAAGGTCGTCCGCCACATTCTCAAGTTCATCACTCATGCGCGAGGCCAGCAGAAGGCCAAGGAAGCCGGCATAGGCATCACGACTTCCAGCTCTACTCCGGGCTTCACTCGCGAGCTGAGGAACATCTTCAAGGCCCTGGACGCCATGATGCGCAACCATGCTCCGGTCCTCGTTGGTAGTCAGACACTCGCCGTCCAACATTTCCACACGTGGCTTCCAGAGCTGACAGGACTGTTGACGACTGAAGAGATCCTTCACGTCGCGATCGACTTCCTCGACTCTTGCGCCGACGTCAAGGGCAAGCTGGTGCTCTACAAGCTTGTGTTAATCATCAATTACTCCAAGCTCGACATGTTCTCACACCCTGATCAAAAGTCCGCCCTCACTGCCAACACTGTCCGCTGGATCTCGCCTCACTGGGGCCATTCTGAGGACGTCACCGACCTGTGGAAGGACCAAGTCCGTCTTTGCTGCTCTGTTCTCGCCAGTCAAATCAACAACTTGGGCGCCGAGATCCCCGACTACCTCCCGAAGATTATCGATTCTTATTTGTCCATAGTTTCCACCAACATCAAGCCACGCAACCGACTTTCCCTTTTGTTCCCGACATCATACCCCTTTCCTTCCAAGCCGATTGCGGAAGAATGCACCTTTGATGAGGCACTGATTGAGCTTTCCGCCATTCTCTCTGCCATCTCGAATTCACCAAGCGGAATGCAACTGGAATTGACAGAAGGCGACCTGACTGCATTATTAGAAAATACCCTTCGCGTGCACATGAGCATACTAATGGGCGAGGCTTTCCCGCCCGAATGGCTAAGCGTACATATTTACCACCACAAGTCCACCATGAGGACACTGCAATACCTGTCCAGCATCCTGCTGGAGTCTTTCTTACCACACCCCGACGAGGCCGAGAACTTCAATACAGAACTCTGGAAGATGTTCTTCACAACTATGCTAAAGCTTGTTGGCAGCCCGTCCCTTGCCCTGGAGACTTTCCCCGAGCAGAAGCGAAGGGCCGTATGGAAGATCGCCGGTGACGTAAGGGAGCACGGAGCCGAGCTGCTGAGGCGAACATGGGAGGCAATCGGTTGGGAGACGAGTAGCGATGAGCGGGCTCGCTATGGTCTTTCCAAGATGGGCGGTTACCAAGTTCAATACGTCCCGACCTTGGTCGGTCCGATCGTCGAGCTTTGTCTTAGTGTGCATGAAGGTCTTCGCCGGATGGCCGTGGAGGTGCTGCAGACTATGATCGTCAGCGAGTGGACTCTGAGCGAAGACTTGTCCGTCATCCAGACTGAGATGATCGACTGCCTCGACCATTACTTCAAGTCAAAGCCCTTGACCGAAAGTATTCTGCAGAAGCTTTTCGTCAACGAGGTTCTGGAGAGGTTTGCCCCCCTGTCGACAATTCCCGACGATCCTCTCTACGCCGGTCTGCGTGATCTGATGGCGACCGTTGACGAGTTCCTTGACCTGCTTGTGGCTGTTCACAGCGGCGACGTCACAAGCGAAGCGTCGCATCTTATCAACCGTCTCAGACTGATGGAGTTCCTTCGAGACATGCAGAAGGAGGAGATCTTTATCCGCTATGTCCACCAACTGGCCATCCTGCAAGGCGAAGCGCGGAACAACTGCGAGGCTGGCTTGGCGCTTCGCCTTCATGCTGACCTTTACGAATGGGATCCGACCAAGCAAGTTTCCGCCCTGGACGATCCCGAGTTCCCTGCTCAAACGCACTTTGAACGCAAAGAGCGCATCTACTTCGATATGATCAAGTACTTTGAGGACGGCGAGGCGTGGAGCAGCGCACTCGCGGCTTATCAAGAGTTGCGAGTCCAGTACGAAACCAACATCTTCGACTTTGCCAAGCTTGCCCGCACTGAGCGTGCCATTGCCACCATCTACGAGTCCATCTCAAAGAGCGACAAGCTGGTGCCCAAGTACTTCAAGGTTGTCTACAAGGGCCTCGGCTTCCCGCCCAGCCTGCGTGACAAGGAGTTTATCTACGAGGGCTCGCCAACAGAGCGTGCAGCTGCCTTCACGGACCGCATGCAGGAGCAATACCCTTCTGCCCAGATTGTTACGGGAGGCGATGTAGACGACGCAGAGGGACAGTTCCTCGTCGTTTCCGCCATCACTCCTCACCGCGACCTCACTCATCAAGTCTTCCAGCGCGCTCGCGTTCAGCAGGTCATCCGCGATTACCTGTTGTCCGCGCACCCTCAGAGCTTCTCCGTGTCTTCTAAACGAAGCACCTCTGGACCTGTTCAGGAGCACTTCGCTGAGAAGCTCATCTTCACCACGGCCGACCCATTTCCCACAATTCTCCGCCGAAGCGAGATCGTCCACACCGAGGAGATCAAGCTCAGCGCCCGCGAAACCGGTCTGGAACGTATCGTCAGGAAGACGCAAGAGATGACGATCCTCGAGAAGAGGATCGCTGACGGAGACGAAGAGAACGCACAGTTGCTCGTGGATGCTATCAGCATTTCGGTCAATCCTGATTCCGAGAGCAGCGTTGCCTGCTACCGTCAGCTTCTGCCCGCTCCTCGCGAAGAGGATGATGAGGACGACGAGACGGAAGAGCAGGAAGAGGAAGAAGAGGTGGAGCTCGATCCTCAGGACAACGCGATCAAGATGGCATTGGTCGATCACGCCATCATGATTAAGAGATGCCTGGCAACCTTCGCTCGGAGTTCAAATGAGATCCTCCACGAGAGACATGAGGAACTTCAGCAATGTAGGTTATCTTGTTTCCCTGTAAAACCCCTTGTACTGACCAGGCCAGGCTTCGAAAGCACATTCGCCCCCGAAATTGCACTCTTCGCCCCGCCCCAGCCCTCTCGCGATTCATCCACCGCCTCCCCAACCTGGAGACGGTCAGAGCCTTCCACAGAACAGGTGTCTCCCAAGCCCCAGAGCCTCGCTGGTGTCGTCACAACCACTGGCGTGATCGCTGAAGAAGCGGCGACAGTAGCACCAATTGCCGTCAGAGGCCGCGGAACGCGCCTCAGCTTCCTTGGAGGCCGTAAGAAGGAATCTCCGGTGTTGCAACAGACCAACGGCGATGCCCACGTGAATGGAGAAGTCGACGACACAGTCAGCAACCGAAGCCGCAGCTTCAGCAAGACCCAGGAGACCCAGAACCGCCGCACGAGCTTCTTCCGCGCCCCGTCTACCGAACCGCGAATCATGACCGTTAACGATGCCACGAGTGAGTGGGTGACGGATTCGGGCGGCCGTCAGAGCTCGGACATGGGCACGAACCTCACCGAAAAGGAGCGCGAGTATAGGGACGAGCGGCCGGCGGAGCCCCTTGGCATCGTGAAGCGGGGCAGCGTTCGCAAGAGATTAAGTATGCTGAAGCTGGGCAAGAAGTCCAACAAGGCCGGCGCTATGGGCAGCGTGCACGAGGAGTAGGACTTCACGGCAGCGGCAGAGCAGCTGGGTTACATGAACAAGACGACAGGGGAGTGGCAGTATCCTGTGTCGTGAGTACGACTCGGACGGGAGAAAAAGAAAACAAGGTGTCTTTGAATCAGGAAAAGGGCGGATGTGTACAAATTTGTTCACGGTGACCCTATGGGATTGGACAGTGGGCTCAGGATATTTATGGGCTTTTTTCGCGAATTTCGCCGGCGATGAGAGGTTTGGGAGGGGCGATGGTGTTCTGGATATGTATCTGTAGGATCCCCCACATCTGCACGACAGCCACAGCGCAGCAGATGCAGTTTCTTGTCTGGTTCTCCTCTAAGTGAATAATACTTTCCTCTCCCATTTGTATGGGAGTCTCACAATTATCTATCCATCTGTCAATGGTGAACCCAATAAGGCTGAGACCCGTCACAGCTTCTAACACAGCACTGCCGCTACACATCGCCTGGGACTGCGTGGTCCACGTTCGGACCAAGACCCTCTGCTCTGCACCCAGGGACTTTTGTTCGGTCCATGGATCAGCATCAGCCTGTCTTGTCGATAACCCACACACTGACAGATCGTTCCGTCCATCTGACCAGCTTCCACAAGCCCACGTGCCCAGAGCGGATCTTCCTCCTCGGAAACCATCCGAGAAGTAACCTTGATCGAGGCTCCTGGCATGGACCACACTACCCAACATGGCAGAAGCAAGCGGCCCGATAGTCCGATGGAGAGAGAGGAGACCTCCCCTCCCCCCGCCATCTACCACATTGAGCCACTATATTGGAAGACCTGCAGTCCGAATAAGGCATGCACATCGATCTCGGCCCGCCCAAAAACAACGGGGCCGGCCCCCCGGCACGCCCTACATGATTCAGTCGCAGCCCGCTCCGGTGCGACCCAAGACAGCTATGCGACCGCATGCGAGCATAGCTCCGGCCGGTTCCCGTACAAGCGAGATTTGCCGCTGGGGAAGAAAGGATGCGGTGGTGGCACGTGGGTGATAGATAACAGTATAGGGAGATGGGCGGGGAGAGGGTCCTTCGTGGGATACCGCTTGCTCCCCCTGGGATGTGTTTTGGGATCCTGGTGAGGGCAGGGTGCTAACGGGTTTTTCTTCCCCTTTTTGGGATGGGGATGGGGAGAGTGTTAGATCGGATTGGGAAGGTTGAGGGAATTGGATGTTGGGTTGGGGGGACGGGATGGGTGATGGGTTTGTATAAAGCTATTGGGCTTGCGACATGGTGAGGTGATTGTTAATGCCAAGCATCGCGCCTCTCTCCCTCTCTCTCCCTCTCTCTCCAAGACTGTAGGCAAGCTCCTCAAACAGCATCCTCACTTCTTCCTCTCCCTCCCTAAGCCGCAAACCAAGAACCACCTCACCTCGCCTCGCGCCCCAAAAGCCAAACCGCCAACCAGCATCACAAACCCAGCATACCAAAATGCAGCTCCCCCAGCTCCCCCTCAGCCTCCTCGCCGTCCTCCTCCTCGGCGCAACGGCGACGGCGCAGAAGACAGGCCCGAACGGCAAGCGCATCTGTGTCGGCGGCGCCATCTCGTGCCAGTACGAAAAGGGCCGCTGCGCCAACATCTGCGGCGACTCCTTCGTCAACGGGCAGGGCACGCCGGCCTTCATCGACCCCAACTGCTCGTGCCCCGAGGGTCAGGCGGATAACAGGTACACGGGCGCGGCGTGTATCGATGTGGTGAGGGCGCTGGGGAGGTCGGGGTGCTAGAGGGGTTAGGGAGGGGATGTGGATGAGGAAGAAGAAGTGTGAGAGGATGTCTGGAGGTTTTGATGATGGGGAAATACTGGCTGGTGTAATCGCGTATGGGGACATTCAGGTACACATTTGTGATTGGCAATTGAACATATCTTCTACCTTGTGAGGTAGTTTGAGAGCGTTTGACACGTGAGTTTGAGTGAAAGTGGTTTATGAAGACATTTCAAGGCATTGGTTTCTTTGTGATTATTGTAGACTTGGCATTTTCGCCCGGCAAGTGTGAAGCTCCGGACTCATGTATGAATCAAAGAGTTTCCCACGCCTTGGATATTTTGAGTCTATCTTCTTGGAGTGGGAGATGGTTTTCTGCCGTTTCTTGGACATCATAAGAAGGAGGCCGCCCAAAGCCGCCCATCAAAGTTGAAAAGATCAATGGAGACATGGTTTACACGTGCTGTGAGTTTTCAGGAGGCCTCTTTGCGAGGGAAGGCTGGGATATGGTCCAGAATGGCGAAGAGTAAGACAGCCAAGTCCAAAGGGAGCCGAACGATCCGGCGTCGAGACTAACAAGCGCAAATTCACAAAAGGTATGATATAAACGGCTAGTAAAGAGATGAATCTCTTTTCTTCAAATGGGGAACGAGCTGGGTTTGGGTATGATGCTAGTGCTCATCATCCAGCGGGCCGAGCCTCGTAAAATAGGACTGCATAGAGTGGACATGTCGCGAGAATGATATCTTGGCATTAGTGCCCAGCACGGGGCTGAAGTCCCTTGGCTTAGTGTTCTAGACATGCCGAGAAGGACAGAGTGCTTCAAAGGGAACTTAATAGTATAAATAATCTGGAGTCGAGATGGCTTGTCCACACTCCAGACGTGCTTCTCTTTAGTCTTCATCATAAGCCGGGCACAATCACCCATCAACTCCTTGCCACTCACATACCGACGCTTAAAAATGCCCTACGACACGGAGGTCTCCACCACCGCCACCGTCTTCGACACAGAAGACGACAACGGCACCTGGACCTTCGCCGACCTCGCAGGCGACGGCTCCCCCGACCTCGTCTACATTAAGACCCGCGCCACCGACAGCGGCAAAGTCGAGCTCCACGCCGCCAGCCGCAGCTCCGGCTTTCAGGACCGCACCGCCAACACGCCCACAGCCTTCGATGCCGTCGACGAGGACCCCGCGGCCTCAGGACACACCTTCCTGCTGCGCGACTGGACCGGCGACGGCCGCGCGGACCTCATCCTCGTCAAGACGCGCGACACCCCCGGCGGCAAGGTGGAGCTCCACGTCGCCGCCGCGGACGCGGACTACCAAGCCTACGCGCTGCAGACGGAGACGGCCTTCGACTGCGAGGACGGTGGCGCGTGGACCATGACGTACCCGCGCGGCGACCACCTCGTGTACCTCAAGACGCGCGACTGCGGGTCCGGGATGGTGGAGGTGCATGCGGCCGGCCGCGGGGGCGGGTACCAGAGCCACGACCGCGGCGAGCCGACGGCGTTTGAGGCGGAGGAGAACGGGACGTGGTGTCTTGCGCCGCGGGGCGTGGATGATGGGGAGGGCGGGGGTGGGCTTGCGGATTTGTATTATGTCAAGACGAGGGAGACGGACTCGAGGGTCGTGGAGGTGCATGCGGCGACGGCGGAGTCGGGGTGGCAGGATCGCCCGCTTGGTATCGTCTCGAGCTTCGCGCCGGACGAGGATGGGCACTGGGTTTTGGCGGATTTGAATGGTGGGGATGTGCCTGATTTGGTGTACGTCAAGACGAGGGATACCGACAGCGGTAAGGTTGAGATTCACACCAACGAGGTGTAGCCCTTTGCGATGCTCTTACCAGGGGCGTTTCACTCCCGCGAGAAGAGGCACGGGCGTTGCCTTGCTGAGGGACGACTTCCACGTGGGAATAGCGGCTTCGTAGGTCCTGGAGCCCTGAGTCTAGGGATGGCACATCTAGGGCTGACTATACTTCAACCTTTTCCATGCTATCTCTTAGGCCAAGACCAGCGGATTCCAATCGTATGACGGGAGAGCCGCGAGGAGTGTATCGATGTGATTTGTATAAATACGTTATGGGCCTCCAGAGCATATCGGGCTGCCGTGGCTACTGATGCCAGGCAGAGGCAAAGCTGCAGCTAGATAAAAAACGTCAGCCGCATGTACGACTTACTGAGATTATACCTCAGAATGTCAGCATGTGTGGTGACCCTCTGGAGAAATAACGCAAGTGCATTAGACACATATTGATCTGTGATGCTTCCAGACTGTCGGATCCCCTCCATGTTATAAATCAAATCAACTGCACACATCAGGATGTAAGTCTTCCCTCGAAAGCCCGGGCCAAATTTTGACATAACATGTATTTGAAAGAGGATGACCACATCTAATTCCATGGAAAGAGAGTCTTGACAGACACCTAGCGTATTGGATATTTTGCTAGCGGGTACAGTCTTGCAAGTCGTTGCAACCTGAAAAGAACTTATGTCATTGCATGTCAGTCACTACACCATTATCGGACTACGTGAAGGAGGGACTTTCGGTGACCCTTAGCTGCTTATGTCGGGCTAGACGAGGCCACCCCGGTACCTTCTTCGTTCAGCTGCAGATCGCAGGGGCTCTTGGGCTCAACCGAGAGATGCCGTGGTCTGGATTCCCAGAGAATCTAAAAATACGGTCTAGTCTTGTTCGCCATTGTGGGATCATCTCACGGCCTAGAGCATCATGGTCCTTCCATCCTTCATGGCCTCCATGTCATCGTCGGCCACTCCCGAAGTCCCGTTGACAAAGTTTTACAGCCAATGAATCACTTGAAAACTGCTCTTTGGTATCTTAGTTTCTGAAGCTAAAATCACTACTGGTAATATAACACCATCTTTTGTATCAGGTACGAAAGCGAGGTTGTGGACTGGCTTTATCTCGACATGCTGTCTCATCGAAGTCATCCATTCTGTAGTTTTTGCTTCAGCCCAATCTTTGTGACAATGGGTCAATACATCTCTACTTTTAAGATCCATATCCGAGCTTCGGGCAGGCGAACTCGGGATCTAAAGGCTCTTGAGCACAAGCCCAATAGCCTTGCAGATTCTCCGGGGTCCGATAGTGATAGTGGCAGGCCCGAACAAGATCTAGCAGCCATCCTACGACCGATCATCACTTCATTCGTCTCCGACATCGGCTGCATTGACCCTGCGCCAGAACCAAGTGAGGCTCTATGGGTTGCCATGCGAGCCTACGCCGATCAGCTGGGGGTGAAAATGTCAAAGGCACACACTCTTGGGATTGCTTCCAGATGGGGATTACCTATTTAGCTGTTAGTTTGACCTCCACTAATCTTGGCCATTCATAATGATCTGGTATTGTTAGTAAATACTGACGTACTTCAGGCCTGCTTCCCAAAGCACTCACTAGAGGTCCAAGTCTACATCGGCACGTATACCTGGCTTGGAATACTCATCGACGACGAAACCTCAAAATCACCAGAGGATTGCTCAAAATCCATTGAACGTTTCGCGGCAGGAGAGAAGCAGCCGACACCCCTCCTCGAGGGATGGGCAGAACTCATGCGTCTGTCATACAAGTACTGGGACCCGGTTGTGGCCAACTTCATCGTCACAGCCTCACTTAACTTTGTCAATGCAAACGTCCTCGAGAACCGGCAGGAGTTCAAGAAACTCAAGCCAACCAAGGGCGGCAAGAAGTGGCCCTGGTTTTTGCGTGACAAGGACGGCGTTTCAGACGCGTATGCCCTTTTCACGTTCCCCAAGGATCAGTACCAAGACATGTCGAACTACCTAGAAATGATTCCTGGTATATCTTCTTACCTTGCTTTGACCAATGACATTCTGTCGTAAGTCCCGATCGCTATCTTTGCAACAGCTCGATATCACTAATTCAATTACCACCGGTCAGCTTCTACAAAGAGGAAAGAAACGGCGAAGTGGACAATTATATACACGGTCGTGCCTGGTATGAGAACAAGGAAGCTACCCAGGTGCTTGAAGACGTCGTTAGTGAAGTGAAGGAGGGCGTTCGTCGCATACGTGTTGTTCTCGATGGAAGAAAGCCATACCTGCAGGCTATCAACGACTATATACTGGGTTATGTCGCTTTTCACAAGTTTGTCAGGCGATACAGACTATGGGAGGTCGGCTTGGGCGAGCATCAGGCGTAGGAACTTAGTATTGGGGATAAGCGGCCCTTGAAGTGCTACTGGACTATTTGGTTTTATATATATATATATAGGATGGACATATGGAATGTGTGTATGTTGCTCGATTCTGACGTCGTCTGCCTGATACAAGAAAGTGCCGGCTTTTAAACAACACCGCCAGCAACACTAGACTATATGTGATGGCTTTACTACACTTGGAATCCTCAGGATTCTAATTAGGCTCTCTAAAATGCATACTGCGTACTCGTTTTGGGCGAATTAGCAATCTTGCGCCCTTGGACTTCCATGATCCCTCCAAACCGGCCGTAGCCGGAGCTGCCGCCAGTGCCTCCGTTGGGCACAGCGGCCTTGGAATAAACTGGCATGACAGCTTCTGACACGACATCGGCGCAAAATATCAAGATCGCGCATGGTATCGCCAGCAAAGACGATCGCGTTGAGGCTGAAGGTACTGTCGTTGGCCAAAACGAAAACCCCATCGTTGGCGACAAAGACCGTTAGTTAAACACATCGAAGGGCCGAAACCCTCTTTTTGGACTGAATATCCTATTTGAAGCGAAATCATTGTGGTATCATTGACGTCACCAAAGCTTCAAGCAAAACAATGTACAGAAGTTGCGTCCTCTAAACGCTTCATAAACCAAAGACAGCCGTCTTCAATCTTGGAGCGACTGTCCCAGATACCCTTCCCCTCTTACATTCGACCTATATCGCCCCATTTTCTCCCATTCAGGGCGTGCCATGACGCTACGCTTAGAGCGTGTAAATGAAATCAGGTCGCTTGTCGCCGGCAACCCACTTATCCTCATCCGACATCGACGCCCACTTAGCGTCCATCCTGCCGGCCCTGCGAGAGGAGTTCTCCCGACGCAGGGCAAAGTGCATGAAGATGGAGCCGCCGAGCAGGAAGAGGACCTGGTACCCGAGAATGACGCTGTGGCCGGTGTAGAAGCGGGGGGACTCGCGCTTGAGGTAGATGTTGGAGGAGACAACGCCGTTGAGGTTGCCCCAGCCGACGACCATGCCCAGCACGAAGGCGCGCTTGAGGGATCCCTCGGTGTTGTTGATAACCCAAGACAGAGTGTTGGAGATAGTTGGGTAGATTCCTGCTGCGCCCAGGAACGTTCCGGCGTATTGGACCTGCGGGTTCTGCGTCGAGATGAGCATCACGAAGCCGACGATGCCGATGGTCACGGTCGCCATGTTGCAGTATCCTCTGTACCGCGTCTTGTCGGCAATGATACCGACAGTGACAGTCAGCGCGGCAGCAACGGCATATGGCGGCACGGAGAGAAGCTGGGCCTTGGTGCCGACGTGGCCCATACCGGTGAGAATCGTGGGCAAGAAGAGCGAGAAGGCGTACAGCGGGACGAGGCAGCCCATGTAGATGACCATGTAGCCGTAGGTCTTCCAGTCCTTGAGGCCGGCGTACATGTGGCGCTTGTCAAAGTCCTCGGCGGTGCGGCCCTGCTTGTCGGCGAGCAGGCGGCGCTGGACGCGGATGCGCTCGTCGGGGGTGAGGAAGCGGGCGTTCTCGGGCCAGTCGAAGACCATCCACCAGCAGAAGATGCCGACGAAGACGGTAGCGAGACCCTCGATAATGAAGATCCAGGCCCAGCCGGGCTTGTTGCCAATGCCGTCCATCTTGGCGATGGCGGCGGCGAGGAGGCCGCCGAAGGAGCCGGCCAGGGCGGCGGCGGAGAAGAAGACGGCGGAGCGGACGCCGATCTCTGAGCCCTTGTACCAGCAGGACAGGTAGTAGTTGACACCTTGACGGGTAGTGGTGTTAGCGGGGGAGATTTTGGAGATGATAAACTTCGTGGCGGAGGGCTGGTGGTGGCGCGCGTGAGGGGTGAAGCTTACCAGGGAAAAGACCAGCTTCAGCAATACCGAGGAACCAGCGGGCGGCGAGGAGGCCTGCGGTGTTGTGGCAAAGACCCATGAGGGTCATGATGATGCCCCAGACGACGATGATACCGGTGAAGAAGATGCGCGGGGTGAGACGCTTGAGGAGGGCGTTGGTGGCGGGCTCGAAGACGGCGTAGCTGATGAAGAAGACTGTGAGGGCGAGGTTGTAGTCGCTGGGTGCCATTCCTAGATCCGCTTCCATGCCGGCGAGACGGGCATTTCCGATGTTGGTTCGGTCGAGGAAGGAAAGAAGGTAGCTGGATGTCCGTGTTAGCCGTGGTGTTGATGAGAGTGCGGGCACAGCATTGCGGCTCAGTCTTACAGAAGTGAGAGCCATGGGACGAGCCAGAGATCGACTTTCCACATTAACGCCTTGTCCTATTTCAATGAAAAAACAGCGTGTTAGTTATACAATGATTCTCTTGTCAACCGGAGCTGGCGATAGCTTCATCCGGCCCGGAGTCGGAGGCGACGTACAATGGCGGCCCGCTCTTCCGGCGTCTTGCCGTCATCGGGATCGGGCAGATCTGCGAGGGCGCGCGCCTTCTCGACCTGGGACTCGTGGGGTTTCTCATCCGAACTCTCGTTCACCTCCACATCGCGCTTTTGGTAATGTTCTGTCAAGCCTGCCATGGCTGTGGGTTTCTGTTGGGTAAGGCGAGGTAAGGGGCCGCGATTGCTGTTTGGTTGCTGCTGGTTGCTGGTGCCGTTGGAGCGGGTGCAAGAGAGCGGTCGCGAAGCGGTCTGTTGCCGTCTGAGGGGGCGACGGGATCCGAGGGCTCGTTTTTGTTTGCTCTACCTACCCCTTTGGACTGTTCGGTCAAATGCTCGGGTGGTTCAAGAGCAACAGCACGGACGGGATCGGGAGGAGAGATGGTTGGAGGAGGATCGAGAGTGAGTTCAAAGAGGAGGTGAGAGGTGAGAGGCAAAGGGAGATCTGGTGGAAGAGAGAGGTGGTGAGAGGGTTTTGATGCGGTGGAACACGGCAACCGGAGTGGAAGAGCGATGGGTGGGATGGCTGTGTCCAAACAAAACACCTCGATGGGCTATGAGGGGTAAGGTCAGGTAGCTGGAGAGACGAGGACCCGGGGTGGGATGAAACCTTGAGGCATCTTTATAAATGGCAGACCGGACGAAGGTGACGAGATGGGATGGACGAACCATGTCGCCGTCCGTCTGGGCCCCCTTCGTTTCTTTACCTATCACTCTACTCTCTTCCTCTCCATTGCTTCATGTCCCCTCCGTCGCCGCCGAGTGCTACCTCTGCCGATCCACCCACACTCATACAAAAGTTGACGAAATCAGCGAAAGGGAATGAGATGCGCTAGTATGAACGACGACGACAACATGTGCAGATTTGGAGAACTGCCAAAAGATTGGGGGAGTTTGCGCAGCTCTCCGCAAAAAAAAAAAAAAAAAGAAAAAAAAAAAAGACATCACTGTGCGGCATCCGATGGGAGGGGAACAGGGTACATTGCTGCGCGGTACCCTGCTTACCCTGTCCCGCTGCCAGTGAGAACTGAGAGAACTAGGTGACCATGTCTCTCTTCCAGGCCCGGTCGAGGCTGCATGTAGGGCTTTTCTTCCTTCCTTCTTTTCGAATTGGGTAGTACGTAGTTCATCACATTGAGACTGCTGCCCAGACAAGGGGTCCTGGGGACTGGAGACATGAGAGGCTGGATGTATGGCGTTCTCTCACAGTGTTCGATGCAGCCGGTCCCGGCCTTCTTCCTGTCGTGTTCAAACGGCGAGCGAGGGCGGTGTCAAGTCGCATTCAGCAGGCCAACTTTTGTCCGTACGACCGGATTACTTTACCTGCAATGCGCGCCCAGAGCTCTTGGCACTTACTGTGAGCCACCCCGGAGGCGGGTTTGTTGCTAGTGATTGGCCGGCAGACCGGGGGTGCCCGGGGCAGTTTCTGGTGAAGGGGGGTGACGGCCGGGGGATGGGCGGTCATGGAGCTAAGGGAGACCGGGGAGGGGATGGAGGCGAGGAGGAGGAGAATGGGGGAATGGGGGAGCAGATGGAGACGACGGGGGTCACTCGACTGGACACGGAGCCAAGGCTAGAGGGAGGCGGGGAATTGTCTACACGGCGTAAGAAGAGAGAATGCTGAATGGCTCGTTTCGACCGTGTACAATCCAGAAGAAACATGAAAAGCTATGGGCGCGGAGACTGTGAATAAGATCCATGACTCGAACCTTGCAGGTTGCCTGCCAGAGTCCTGGGGTCCAGACGCAATTGCAGGCAACTCACCCTCAGCTGTGCTGGAAGACACAAACACAACAGTAGCCGCTGCTGCAAGTGCAGTGAATGCCCCGGTTCTAATGAATTGAGGGTGGGTGATTTGAGAAAAAAGGTAGCCTGCAGCGCCCAGTCCCATGCCCAGGCATCATGTTTGTACGACGGCGTGGCGCACAGAAGGTCCGAATGTTTGCTGGCCTCGTCTGAAGGCGCCCTAGGATGCTTGCTCTAGGGCAAATGAGCATAAGCTGGAATGCGTAGAATATTCGACAATTCCCGCTCACTAGCTGCCTTGTTCCCGAGAGACTTGACAAGAATGCGATGATGCGCACCCGTTTGGCATGGCGGTATTGAGTTCTAGCCACCCGCAGCCACGGGAGCACTTACACTCACGAAAGACTCGACAGGTTGTTTTTGTTGGAGCATGCGTATCGTCATGTGGATGATGAGACTTTTTGCCCTTCAATCGGGAAGGTGGGAGAACAGAGTGACAGGGACGCAGACAGGGGGCATGAGAGCGGCCCACGCCTTCACAATTTCTGCACATTTCCTGACCAACAATTCTTCTCTCTTCCTCTCCAACCGAGAGTCCGTCAACAAGCAGCAAACACCTGTCAGCCATCGCTCTCGCCCCGTTATCGCCGTCTCCATTTCCCCTCACGGAGCTCTCCACTCACCCACCCTAATAAGCATAACGAGACTGGAGGCACAGTTCGGACAGTGAGCGAGCTCTCGGCAGACCATGAGAACGAGCAGGGTTGGCCAGGTTCACAGCCCTCTCGAACCGCGCGCAAGCCTAATCCCCAAGAGCCAATAAGTGCCCAACTGCTCGCCCAAGTCGGCCAAGG